GATTTATTTTGAGTTTTCCTCTTCAGTGGCACCACAGAACACTCTCTGTTCACAGCCACAAAGCTCCAAGCCCAAAATGTCACTGCTGATGGGGCAGCCCAGGGCGTGACAACAGTGTTGCTCCCCAAATTCAAGTTAGTCCCAGAGGGAGAAGTGTGCAAGTGATCCCGTTAAGGGTAAGCTTAGCAGATAAATGCTCCCATCTGAGAACCTCCACTTACCTTTACCAAGAAGGCAAAACCACCCCAATGTCTCCCTGTTCTGTTCTCCCACACTGCAGGGTCAGTAACTGGACAAAATGCACTCTCCCACTAGAAAATCACTTAAAAATTTGTGCAAGAACAGTCTGGTTTGGGCAACAAGACCCCAATTCTAATCCTTTAAAAGTTGCCTTGCAAGAAATAGATCCTTAATTCATTCAACTTTTAAAAAAATGCTATTAAGAAAGCTACCTCAATAATTTATAGTTCAACAGCCTGAAGTGCTAGAGGTGTTACATTTTCACAGTTAAGTTTTTGAGACTAGACACATCTAGGACACCTTATGACTTTAATTTTTACATCCAAAAGTAAATAAATCACCATTCATCTTGTAAGTAAGGCTTTGACAGACATTTTCAGAACTAAGGTGGATGCAGCTTAGCCTTTTATTAAACACTGGGGCAAACTCCTGCTCTCTCTGGAAGAAAGAAAAATAACCCTCCCTCCCACCCCAAATTAAAGACCAAATGTTACATACATAGCGATCCAGCTTCCACCTAAACCACCATTCATAGACATTCCCATTCAGTTCAAAACACTTGGACAATGGCCAAAATGAAAATATCTTCTCAAATGCACCCTGTAAAAGACAAACATGGCAAAGGCATTAACACTGATGCCAACCATATGTACTAAATATAAATCAATACACTGTTTTTAACATTATTCCATCCCTACTGCACTGGCTACGTGGCATCAGCAAAATAACAGGATTCCTCAGAAGTCTCTTCTTCAAATGAGAGAGGGTTTCAGTATTGCCTCCCATAAAGGTACAGGCACATGTCTCATTTTGTACCACAGGCATAAAGGGAGAGACTCATCAATGCACTGGGATAAGGAATACATACTCTGTAAGACTACAGCTCAAAGATGGATTACAGGCACACAAACTCCCCTGTAAGATTGCACAGTGACAAGATGCCCTGATTTCTGTCAGCTACACTTAGAGCATGCAGTAAGCCTCTAATTTAGCCTGAGCAACACAAGGTGTCCAAGAGAGACAGATCTTCATTATCACCATCTCGCCATATGTATCACCATATGCTGGCCAAACCCAGTAACAGCAAAAAACCCACCCCAAACCCAGAGTATAGACCATTGTATTTACTACATTTGTAGCAGTACACTGAAAACATGCCAAGCATAACAAACCGATGAGTAAGATACAGAATTGTGGGGTTTTTCCAGCATTCAGGCCAATTCTAATTTTAAATCAAAAGGTTCTTTTTTTAAATTTATTTTTTCCTTCTGTATTTATGATACTGGAGCAAACATACAAGTTATGAGCACAATAAAAAAGCAGAGGCAGGTAATATATTCTTAGGTTGTCAAGGATAAAAACAGTCAAGATTTACAAACCTGAGAGTAGGACAGAAAATATATACATGTCAGTAAGCAGATCAGTTTCAGCAGCAAACCAAAGTGCCATAAGCAGTTCCCTGAGGAAGAAATAAATTAATCAGTATACAGTCATTAACTTTTCAATAGCAAAACCCAGGACACATTAAATAATAATTGCCAATTACTTAGTGTAGCTACACTATGTAATAGAGCCATTCATAAATAAAATTCAAATATTACCAGCAATATTTTATCACTATCTACACTTAAATTTTACTTTAAGCAATTAAAATCAACACTCACACCAATTAACAACCCATTAATCCTAAATTAAACCTCATTTCTAAAACAGGAGCAACATATATACAGGAAGAAGAGAATTTAGGGCTTCAAACAGAAACCCTATTTTAAAAGCTCTGCTTTCCCACACACTCTGCACAGGCAGTCCTTTTTCTAGGTGAATTTAAGTAATAAATACATGAAAATGCCAAACAGCTTTTGTCATGTGAAACAAGTAGAGCAAATACTATTCATTTTTGGGGTACTAACTGTACTCCAAAGCTGAACTGCAGGTCATTAAAGACAATTATCTTGTAAAAAGAAGCCTGAGCAACTGCTCCTCCAAAGCTGTCAACTGATATTAAGCTCTGTCCAAGCCTCAACATTGCAACTGAGATCATCTCCCTCTCCTGCCATTGGCACTTGTAAACAGGGACATAAACAACTGAAAGCTGTCATTTTCTAGTTCCACAGTACACTATTGCTCCCAAGCACACAACAGTAATTTCTCTGTATCTGGAACAGAAGTGCCTTTGTAGAAAAAATATAAAAAATAATTGAAGCTATTTGCCTTCAAGATATCTTGTACAACTACTCCCTAATTGTATTGTTATTGCATTTATTCCTAGCATGCATTTGGTATATTTCATTGTCACATCTTCAGACTATAAAGACTATCTGGATATTCCTCCATCAGTAGGGAATGAGGATTTAAGACTTTTGAGGGTTTAGTTCTAATTTAGGTGAACTAAATAACAAGCATTTACCACATGTTTTACAGCTTTTCAATGAACTGCAATGTATAAAATAAACTGGGATTTCACTTCAATTTTTACTTAAAATACTTGTATCACATGACATACTTCTGATAGCTCACTTAATCTAAGACACTGAGATAATGAACCCCATGCTCTTATCTGGCTGGATATGGCAGAATGGATGCTCAAGATGGGTGAGACACAATGGCAGTGCAGAACAGAAAGTCTAAACACTCCCTGTGCACACTGTACCTACTAGTACACGGCAGGCACAGCCTCAACAAGTGCAGCCTATGGTTTTAATGTCCATTCAGGAACGACAAATGATAAAATGAATGATAAAACACATTTCTGATGATTGAAACCTATGAAAAAGTATTATGACTAAACAGACACAGAGTTATCAGCTGTTACATTTTTCAACTGACATAATTCATCTGTGACACTATTTCTGTGAACAGCTGTTAACATATCTTGTGCTGCAAAGAGACTCAGATCTACTAACAAAGTAATTTTCTGTATGATTATCATTGTAGTAACATGCAAATGTTTCACAGTAGAAAGGAAAAAAAATTACCATTTGCTTTCTTCTGGACTATCTGAGGCCATACAGCTAAGGTGGCATAAATGATCATAAACCAGACAGTGACTAATGGCACAAAGTAGTAGAACTGGTAAGGTCGGTCCATCACTATGCACAGTACCACAACCAAGAAATTGAGACGAAATAAAACCTGGAGGTTGCCAGAAGAGAGAAGACAGAGGACATATAAACTGGGAGGCAAAGCTAAGAGAGATGGGGAATTTGTTTCTTTAGCACTGTACAAAAATATCTATGTATTTTACATCTCACATGCTGGTTATATCTCAGTTGAAACACAGGTAAGTATCTCAGGGAACATCACCAATGCAGTGTAAGATTGCAGGCTGATTATGTAGCTCTGGATCTGACCTATACTGGCCTGCTTGGTGCAGTGAAAATAAGGTTAACCAGACCTGACTATTCCCTAGGCTGGGAATCAAATATTCTAGTTGCTGGATGCAGTTAATACCTTTCTGCTTTCACTTCCAAAGCTACCTGGGCCAGCTCAGTTAAAGGGAAGGTAATGGCATTACCCCCACTGCAATCAGGCTGTAGACACATGTTTAATAAGCACAGTGACCTGAGTTACATGACAATGTAACACTTCGCAGCAATAAAAGACATATGCAAAAAAAAAAAAAATTAATTACACTGCTACAGCATACTGCAATACCTGGAAGGGAAACCACAAACCCAGGTTTGTTCTCCAGTATTGTCATGGTGTGAAAATTCATCTTTTATTAACGAATGCAGGGTCCAAATTTATATGCTTTAGGTTGGTATTAGATAAACTACTAATTAGATAAACTACTAATTAGATAAACTACTAATTAGATAAACTACTGATTAAACAGACCAGATTACATAGAAACAACAGCCATTTTTAACGTGCAAACATTGGTTAAGTGATCTGATATCACATTCCTTAGGGATAATAGATATATTATAGATATTTTGCTACCTGAACAAATTTCTTTATAAAAACAGTAAGCAGGTATTCTTACCTGACACACTCTGTATACACCAAAGTCCCCTTTTATCCAAAAATATGAGAAGTGCCCATAACCTGTTTGGAACAGGTATGCAGCAACCAGAACTCGAATGTGCATGTACACAGGCAAAAACTGTTGAGAAAAATAAAGTACCTTTTATAAATGGCCACCTAAATCCTTTTGGCTTTCCTTTTTCCCCACCCATTTTATGCTTTTTATGCATTGTACTAAATCAGATTTAACTAAGAAACATTATGGTACATTTCCCTGTTTCTCACTGAGCTCTTCTAGTGCCCTGATTTAAAAATCAATTTCTTCTATTTATTGCTTTACACTTTCCATATTCTATTTCTAGTTATGAGAGACTTAAGACAGGCTCTTTGAAAGCTCACCTTCAGCAGTTTCAAGTTCAGAACATAAAAAAGAAGTGCTGCTAGCAATTAAAAATAACTTGATGTAATATTCTACAGGGAGGAAACAAGTACATTTTTTTACTGATCACATAATCTACACAATGCCCTTATGAAACAACTTAGAGAAAACCTAATTCTGCTAATATCATGTTTAAAACTACAGGAACAGTAGTATTAATTACTCATTCTATTCAATTCTAATGCACATTTACAATACTTTTCTTTTGAAGTAACAGACCCAAATTGTATTCCCCCTAAAGAAAAAGAAATTCAGATCACTTACAGTGCTCGCTCCAGAGATATGATAAATCAAAATAACAAGTTGCATCCAGCCCTTCCACTCATCAGTCTGTTCTCTATTTAACACTTTAGTCTAATGCAAAACAAAACAAGAGTGTTGCTATTCCAAAAAGAACAACGAACATCTACAAAATGAGGAGAAAGAATTCAAAACAATAAACCACTTTATGGGTAAATGGGTCTCAATTGTTAAAGTCTTCTGTCTAGTGGGCACAGGTCTACCAGATTTTAACATGATCTACACTCTCTCACAGCTGAGCTCTGCTCACCTCCTATTTGACAGAGTGAGGACAGAGAAAATGCTCATGCCCATATGGTTTAAAAACGTTTTTGCATCTAAGTCCATGCAAACATTATATTGCCTGCAAAGGCATTTTTTTCAGATGAGTTATACTGACTTTGAAAAATTCAGTTTCTATATTTGGCAATTAGTCAAATTGGGAAACAACTTTATAAGTCAGATGTCAACATGATCATTACCTCTTTGGTATTTTCAGTATAAAATACCCCCAAAACCAAGATGTAGACGATTGGTATGAAGAAAGATGAATGTGTGTAAAATTTGTTTTCCTTCATGAAAAGATTTGCTCTGTCACACAGATAAAAATAGGTCATGATTAGACCAAGTTTGCAAAAAGAGTGTAAGAGCAACTCTAAGGTAGAAACGTTAGGTGTGCTGATGGCAGGTTTCTTCTCCTCTCCACTTTCCAAATCAGTGCATGCTTTGTTCTTCCGGTAATTATTCCGATGAATTAAACTGATAATTAAATATCCAATAATGGACAAAGTAAAGAAACAGAAAGCTATCTTCTGTATCAGAGTGAGAGGAGGCTGAGGCTGGCAGCAGGAGCCATCAATGGGCTTCATTATCTTATTGCAGTAGACATTCATAAGAATCATCGCATTCTGTCAAAGAAATAAGCAGTTTCATTAATTAATCTTTGATAAAAAAGTTAACATTTTCATCTTAAGAAATTTTCTTCTAGATTGTGCATTGACATAAAATATAGGCAATTCTCCCTTATCATGACAAAGATAAAGTCTCACAGTCCTGCCATATATCCAGTTGCATTCAACAGTCCAGTCAAAACACCTCTTCAAACAAAAAACACTTGAGCTTCTGGAGCTAAACAAAAATGCCTGATCTCAGAACAGGAGGGCTCTCTCTACTGGCTGTAAAAGGAGCTATAAAGAGCTAAAAGATCTATAAATGAACTTAGGTCCTAAAGGGGCACAGTAACGCAAGTCTCTAAAACATGACAATGAGACTGAAACCTGTGGTGAGATGACATTTAGTTCATCCAGTACTTTACAGCAACTGAAACCTGCAAAGGAGTGGAACCAAAAGTAACATGACAGCTCTTTCACAAGGGCAGACTGACAAAGCTCAGAAGGGCTCACTGCACGCACATACATATTGGTAAGTTAAAGGGAAGACAAAGTCAGAGGCACTCCAGGAAGGTGTATGTTGTGTGCTTTGTTGTCTTCTTCACCCTGCTTACCAAACACAATTTTCTGGACACACAGGAGGAAATTTAAGACTTATCTCTTAGTAACTGCTATTCAAGTTGTTACCACCTTAACTCTTTCATGCACATGAAAGCAAGAAGTTTGCACTCAGGATCTAAGATCTAGGGGGTTAACAGGTATTTTAAAATAGCTATGCACTAATGTGTTTGCTGTTATGTTTTCCTACAAACCTGATTTCACTCCCACCTACTGGTATTTTCTGAACAAAATTTCTTGATGAGCGTGGTCCTCATTACATTCATACTGGCTGCCATTCCAGAATATGCACTTCACATCTTGTTTTACTATTATTACTCTCTAATGTTGACCGATGCTAAACACACTTACTGTATCCCTGCTGGATTCAGGGAGATGCAGGCCATCTGTAGACTTCATGATAGTTTCTTGTGCTATCAATTTTGATACACTGAACACTTTAACTTTAGCTTTGGAATTTCGGGAGCTGCTGTTGAGAATACGAACAGCTGCTTCATTATAAGCATCTATCTTCTCATTAGTGATCATTTTCCGACTTTCACTCAGCATATCTTCATAAACAGGATCTAAATTTGAAAGGACGAAGAACGAGCACATTAATCTTCTACTTGTCAAACACATTTGCTTAGCTCAGGTTGTACAGGCTACTTTCATTTAGGCAGTCACAATTGTTTAATGGTACAGAAAAAACGTACAGCAAGGAGTAAGTAACTGCTACAGTCACTAGAGTTGTTTATGATGAATTGTTCTTATCACCATTCCCATGCCATGCATATATACGTATTTATAGATTAGAAAGCTCTGGCCAGACATCAGTGCCTGTTTAATTTCACCAAATCCATGTAATTCTGGAGTGCAGAGCTGCATATACCTTCTCTCAGTAATGGAATCTACTCCCCTCCCCCCAGGAAAAGACTCCAAAGCAAAGAGGACAGAAGACAGACAGCAGAATAGACACATTGAAAAAAGAAAAAAACCCCAACAACTCTCTCAAACCCTCTGGTTTCACCAGAAAAAAACCCAACTTCTCATTTCTCTAAGTCACAGTCTATAAGCACATTCCACTTGCTCCTGTTGATTACTATTTAATAGATGGCAGAATCTCAGTTTTCTGGAAAAATGGGTAACTTAATTGCCTACAAGCTTCAGAAATTATGCAAAGCTTAACGCAAGGCAGCACAGGACTCTAGATCAACAGGTCAGCTGGAGATCAATACGATGCTGTGAAAAGCTGCTGGTGTGACCATACTCTCTGAGATGGAAGCTGATTTACTTTAGCCGCCTCATGCCTACTTTTGGACAACCAGTGTCTAGACAAGTCTGTGTACAGACTGCTTCTCCTCTCGTTTGTTCCATTAGAGCTCAGAGATTGCTTCACGATAGAACGATGGAACACGTCTGAGAGTTAATTGCTTCTGTTATACGTAAACATTGTTTTGAGAGGAACGCAAGAAGACTAATCTCTTGATTCAGATTTACCTCTAGAATCAACTTCGTTGTGACTTGATGTGATCCACTTGGATGTGACCTTAAGGGTACAGCAGGGTATATTGCTCTAAGGGCCCAAAATCCACCTATTTCTAACTGAGGTGATTAACATCTAAAATGCTGTGTTCTGTGGCAGAGGGAACAGGAGCACATTCTACCTGTGAGGTCATTGCCAAGTGTCAGGGACATACTCCGGTTTTATTGAAGAGAAGCAAAGGAAGGTAAGCTTGGTGCCATAATAATAATAATCTCAGACTCATTGTGAACCACAATTTCTGATCTCAGTGCACAGACACAAGTTTCACTCTAGAGACTTAAACTCTACATTCTCAACAGTATGTTCATTCACTCTAGACACACACAGGATGCCCCTGTTGAACCTTTACTACTATTAATGTAATCTGAAAATCTAATAGAACAAACCACAGGAAGACTGCTGTTTCATGCACTTGTGTTCTTGACTCCCAGGAGGCATGTATGGAGCACAGCCCAGGGAGAACAGACCTGACATTGAGTCTGATGGTAAGCTAACAAAGAATTAATGGTTTATAAGGCAAAAGACCTTCCTGAGAGAGCTTTGAAACCTCCATCACTAGTAGCAGCTAGTTAGGTACCAGGTTGTTAAGACTGCAAGAAAGGCCAGACAAATTCAACCAAGATCCTTTTAACTCTTCAAGTAAGTATGGACTAAATTTTCCATACCCTCCAAGATAATGATTAAACAGACAGTGACAGTACAAATTGTTACCTACTGCTCATTACTTTACCTTGTAAGACCCAGTAAACATCACTACTTTTTGCCAATTTTTCCAAAAGAGGTGCAATTGAAGTGATATTGATTTTATACTGTGTAAGAGCTTCATTGCTGCCATTGTGAATCTTGATAGACCACTGGAAAAACAAAGAAACACATTCAGAACCTTTATGTCTAGGGACCCTCACTTAACTGATTCCCTTGCTCTGTTAGCAGCTATTTTTCATTATTTCTATACAGCTAGATTTCTTTAGTTTTCTATTTAGTTACATTCAAACAGATCATTTAAATGTGGAGTATATAACCTTAAACTTAACGTATATTTGACCTCTCATAAATTCAATGATACAAGATGTTTTGATTAAAAGTCCCTTGACTTTAATCAACAGTACAGTAGCAAAGCCAGTCACATGCTACAAAAATCATGGCAAATTTGGCCAAATCTACTCTAGGAAAACTGACCACAGCAAGAGATGTGTGCAAACAAAACTTGATGGTGGTTTCAAGTTCCAATACTTCCATCTGTTTTGCAGATATCCGCAAGGGAAAAAAGAAAAGAAAAAGAGCCATTTAAATTTCTGGTTTAGTCTTCTACATGAAATGATTGGGAGAATGCTATTGCCACACAGGAATTTCTCCTAGCTTCTGAAAAGAATTTCCCACACTGTAGGAAAAATGGATATAGCATTTTTTAAAGTATTACTGTATCTATACTGCTTTAGTAAAAAACTAAGAAAAAAAACCCCCAAAATAATTAGCCTGAATGCAGTGAACTCTAGTTATTTCTAAGTATCTACATAAAAATTTTAATGTAAGCCAAGTACACTGACTAATGCACTTTCTGAGAATATTCCTGAAAATATAAAATAAAACTTCATGAAGCCAAATAACTTGCAGCTGCTCTGAGAACTCACACACCGCGTGAAGCAGTTTCTTCTAGTAGCTAATTCTTTACTTGTGAAGCACCTACAGTATTGAAGAAACAGTTAATGCAGCATAGTCCATTGAACAGGAAGTCAGAAAATGAGAAGCAGAGCACTGGTAGTGACATTCTCAGAGCAGCTCCTTTTCCCAAAATAAGCAAGCAACTGAGTTTTGTACGAGCTGGAGTTTCTCCAGCTTGTAAGACTTTACTTCTATTTATAAACTGTTATGCAGTTGACAACTTAGGACAGACATGCCCAGGTCAAAGCAGCATGACCAAACTGAAAGCTAAGTTAAAGGTGCAAGTAAAGTTTCAAAGTGTTGACAAGTCCAAGAGCACACACCAGATAAATCTAGTGGCAGGTTACCACACTAGTGTCAGCTATGGTGAGGCTGCTGATGCATCTGACTTTTGAACCCTTTATTTTTTCTGGAAGTTCCTTAAAATACTTCATCCTTGGCCTACTCTAGACATCACTATTAATGTTTTGTATAAATACATTTGTGTTAACAAGAGCTGAGCCTCATATGCATATTGTTGGTTTGTATCTCCTGCTGTCCACAAAGGACAACAACTATGGCTAATGTGTATGCATTTGTAGAGGGAATTATTTAGCTAAGAGTCCTGCAGTTTTGCCACCTAACCTTCTGCAGGCCAGAACACTGTCCATAAATGGCATTTTCTGTGTCAAATACAATGAGTTGTGCTAGTAATACACACTAGATTCTCAGGCTGAGAAGAGATAGCCTAGGCATACTATCATTCCTAAAGCTCAAATATTTATGCGGATCCTACAGAGGAAGGGAATTTAGAGGTTCACCAAAAGGCAAAAGAAAATTTTTAATCCCTCGGGACATGTGTGGAGGTCTCCATACATATATGACCTTCCTTTAAAATTGAGGGAATTCACTCTTAAATTGGCAGTAGCTTCCAGATTGGTAGAATGCCTGAACTGTATCTAAACCAAACTGCTTTCAAAGCATTTTATTTAAAATGGAACACATTTTTCCCCTTTTACATTTCAGCTGGTAGGAAAACATAATGGCTAACTCCCTTCCAATTCCCAAATATTTGGAAGTAAGGGACAATAAATGTGGAAATAACGAGAGGAGCAATTGTTTGACTCTTCCAGTACCAGCCAAGTACTGGAGCAGACAACATAGGGGGAGCTGTTGAATTCCATCCCTGGAACTTTTAAAGAATTAGTTGACTCTTGTTGAGTCCAACACAGGGTAGAAATGATCCTGCCTTGTGGCAAACTGATGGCTCTTCTGGTCCTTGTCAGCTCTGTTTCCTGTGATGTTGCAGCACAGAGCAGTGGTGGAAGCTTTCAGTAACTGCAGTCTCTTTGGTTGCTGAATTATTCGTGTAAAATTTGGATTTTTACCCACATAAATCTAAAAGAAATATGTGTGGTCAAAAAGACCATTCCAGATTGGGCCATGCCCTAAAGCAGAACTTTTGTGACTGAAAAGAGTTTATTAAAAGTGCATCTTAGTTAGTATGCAAGTACTTTCATTTAACTTTTAAAATTAATAATCTGCTTTAAATAAAGCTACTTTATTAGCTAGGTTAAAGCTAATCAATGCTTACTAACCAGTATTGCTGACAAAAAGCAAGTACTGCACCTCACACAGCCTTAATAAAAGATATCTGATATTTTAAAACTACTTGTAACAGCAAATTCACTGAGAGTAGGTTTTTTATTATAAATTGGGTTTAACAATTTAATCTTTTAACCAACTTGAAAATATAAATGTTATCCTACAATAACTTCCTTCTTTACTAAAATTCCCCAAATGTGCGTAACTTACCGTGGCAGCTCCTACTACAATTATATGAGGCTTTGCCACAGAACCCTAAGACACAAAAGCAAAAAGGGATTAGTTTTTAAATTTTCACAAATTATTATTAAGACTCATATCTTAATTAACTGTGACTCACTTGTCCATCATGGTTACAAAAGAGTAGATTGCAGATATATTACAGAGAACATCAACTTGTGATACACCTGAACTTGTATCTAATACAATCAGATGCATAAAGTATCAATAAGCACCTAAAAGCATTATTAATTCAGCAGTTTAAGTTCTCTTTGAAAGCTATTTAAACATCTTCTCCTAAGGTCAAGTGAACTGTAGATCACACTATAGCAGTGCTTTTGTCTTGGTGTCTCTCAGCATTGTCAAACATCTCTTAGAGCTGCTGTACTGACTGAGGTGACCAGTACTTGCTCCTGAGTCTGATAGTTCTACCTAGGACAACAACCAGCGTAAGTTCTCAAACAGTAGAGCACAAGGAAAACAGTCCTGATCACCTCAGTAAAAGCTTTGCCCTGGCACAGCAAGGGTTTGGCAGCTCTCATTTTTTGTAGTAATCCCAGAAAAAGACAAACAAATGATAACTTGAGCTAAGACAAACCTCAGTCCAAGATTTGATCCGTTGCCTCATGGAGCCATTAACTTCTGGATACCACAGAAAATCCTGTAAAATAAAGGCAGATTTACTCTGTAAGCTTGAAGACAACTAGTAGATTTAAAAACTGAAAAAACCCCAAAACTAATTGCCATCAATTCAACTGTACCTGAAAAACATTCAGGCCAAAGTGATATTTTCTTTAGAGTTAGCATGAAAAGCCTGATGCATGGAAAACAGAAAGCAAAGGGAAAAAGGGAACAAAAAGCCAACAAACCCACAAAACTTTTCCCTGATGAAAACCAGATTTAAATTTGCAGTTCAGAAGCTGGGATTTCACTAAGAAGGTAATGTTTTAGCATCTGCCAAATGGGATGTCCTTGGGTTTCCAATACAATTAGGGATAAATCCAAGATCATGTCTATAACTTATTCACCTTAGAATTTGCTTTTTGCTCAGTTTGTCACATTTCTACCAGCAGGTTTTCTTTGTTCCAGAGCTTAAATGAACTGACAGCACGGAATCATAATTCTGAAACAAAAATAAAACCTAACAATTTACCTTACTACTTCATAAATTATCATCTGTTTAAATCTAACAGCACCATGGATTGCAAACCTCCATTACCTACTGGCATTCTTTTAGATGCCAGGACTAGTGCACAACCTTCAGCTAGGAGAACACTAGACTGGCTAGTGCCATTATGTCTCCCTTGACTTCCTAGCATCTAGTTCCTGCTCAGGTGCAGAACTATTGAATCATCTAGGAATACATATGAAAGTGAAATGGCAACAGTTACATATGCAGAAACTATGGTGAAATAGTTAATTGTGAGGTATTTAATGAAGAATGCAGAAACAGCAGCAGCAGAGAGGAAATCTTTATCTTACACTTGCAGGGACCTAAAGACTTTGGTGGTTCAGTGCTGTCAATTCATCATTTGGCAAGAATCTGTGAGTGACCACACAGTCCTCTGCAGTGGCTGAAGGACAGAAGGACCACTGTGACGACTAGAAAGGGCAAAACTAAACTCTCCACTTGTTCCCAGTAGTCCTCTCTTTTGTTGGTCAAGTATTTTCCACAGAGTGGAATTACTGGGTCACAGCCACTCTGAATGTGGAAATTCAGCTACCATACCAATAATGTCAACAGCAATATTGAACCAAAACAAGGAAGCAGCAGACTGAGAATGTATTTTTAACTACCCAGACATCTGCCAAAAGCCCTGACTTGCCGTCTCAAATCTTGGTGGTTAGGCACCTACCAAGGCTTAAGGAATTTTGAAGGTGCAATCCTGTGTCAGGCTAGGCCAACACAAACCACACTGCACTGGCCCCTTTGTCCTGCCTTGCATTCTGCTGTCTCTTTTTCAGCATTCAGAAAACCATATGATAAGATACATCAAGACCTCATCAAATAGGAATCCTAAAGAGTAATGCTTTGGCTGAATTGACTCCTAAACCAGGTCACGCCACAGCTGTAGCAGGGCTAGTTACAGCACAAACAGAGGAATGTACCCTGAAGGGCAACACAGTGGGACAACACAGGCTTAAACTGCCATGGGCTCACACCCTAAAATGTTACTCTGTGCCCTAATCTTAACCATGTACACAAACAGGTACTGAAAACTCACTGCAAACAACTCAGCAAATACACTGCTGCTCTGATTTTCATGAATAGAGAATGAGCTGTCTCCAGGGCACAAACAAACACATGACTAGCAGAATCCCAGCACTGCTGACAGCTGTCAAGGGAAGCAAAGAAAGCTATTGAGGACAGCATTTCCATTGCCAGAGCAGAGAAGAACAGAGTCCTTCATGAAACCTACCCTCAAGTGCTTTGTTCCTTTTCTTTTTTAAACATCCACATTCTAATCCACATTGTGGTTATTTTTGTGGTTATTTTTATTTTGTGAAATACTTGTTGAGATAGCATAGAGAGCTCAATGGCAACTGAGTAATGGTAAACACCAATCCAAGGAAGTTAGTCCCAGATACATATTCTTACAGCAGTGAAAGAGTAAACTTCCTGGCAAAAGCTATTCCTGGGAAGGCCAAATTATAAAATCTGACAAAAAGAAAAATTACACACACTTCCAGAGCTTATGCCCAAAACTAACACAGAATACAAGTACTCAATGCCAAAGTCTCTCAAAACATGTTCAGATCCACTCTGAAATACGTGTGAAACATTCATAAAAGAATGTTTATGGTTTAAACCTTCTTTTGACTCTTCAGCTCTGACTGCAATTTCAATTACATTGTATGAAATAATAACATGATTATGGTTTGCAATTTAATGCTAGCTAAAAACTTACCACTTTAATTGAAGCAGATTTATCTTCAAATGGAATATTTCCATGCTGTCAAAAAACCCAAAGCAAGAAAAACAAAGTAAGACAAACTTTCAGAATGAAAACAAAAATATTTACATTCCCATGCTAACTTGCTCTCACCCAAAGGTTTATCTTCAGTAGAAAGGATTTTTCTTGTATAAACTTGTCAGTATATTCATGCAAAACATTTATGTTACTTCCTTGTTAAAATAAGCTACTCAACTAAACAGATATTTTTCCTGGAAGAAATCTACCCAACAAAGCCTGAAATGCTTTCTGCTCATTCTGTTACAAAGGTACAAAATATCTTCCTAAATTTAGCCTCCCAACATGAGAAAAATTTAAGACTTTTATTTCTCTTTCTTTTCTTAAACTGCCTCTCCCCAGCCTTCCTTTTCATCTGCCCTTCTCGTCCGCACAAAACAACTGACATGGCTTTAACTAAAGAATAAAAGAAAATAATCTCAGGCAGAAATAAAATCTGGAATGGATTATTACATTTACTGAGTGGAACTGTAACAAATCAGAAAGGAAGGAGTCAGATATGCATGCACAATCCTCCTTTGAACTAAATACAGTATTCATTTCAATCCTGGTCCAAAAGAACAGGTGTATGTCTCTTCCATACACTCAGATCTTGATTTTCTTAAACACTTGACAAAAGATAGTCTTGATTCAGAATCAGTTATAGCACTCTTATCATCTCACCATCACTTCTGGGCAGCAACTGTGAACCTAACCAACTGACCAGGAAAGCCAGAGTTCCTTGATGAATCAAAACATCTTGTTTTGACAAGGGAAAGTGACTGCATGCTGTGTGCTGGACAAATCACCAGCTCTCACTTCTAAGTGACAGAATTACTAAATAATTGACAAATCTGATGTACTCTTGAAAGTGAAATGTGTCTCTTGCCTCACATATGTACACACATCCATGAAGGAATATGCCTAAGAAGTGTGATAGAGCAAAAGAAAGCAATATTCTGTTCAACAAATGACAGAGCTAAATCCTTTCTTGCTGCTTCCACCCAGCAAGCTGCATTTTACATTCTTCATCTTATAAAATTCACACAGTTCTTCAGCAGTGATCAAAGGGAAGGTAAGGCCAGAAGCTATTTTTAGTTTCAGCTTCAAGTTAGACCTGGAAATCTGTCATTGCCCCAAGGATTTTTATGAACAGATTAGATCAGCAATTTAACTGCCATTTAAAATGACAAATTATAAGACATGAATTACTACTATTTAAAAACACACAAAGGAGCAATAATTTTCTCATCAAGAAACCAAATATGAAGCATAAGTTGCTATGGGAGAAGTCAGCTTCGCTAATTTATTCCCAGACTGCCGTGAGCTTTCTCTTGAGCTTCCTAGTTCCCCTCTCAGATTCACAATGATCTCATCTGTACCCAAACAATTACTTTGGTCTAATCTTGTTCTTCTTCAAAAGACCTTTCTGTGCTTCTCCTTCCTGATAGCTAGGCCAGCAAACAGTAAAATGTCTTGCTTTTTTTGAAGTTTAAAAAAGAGTTATGAAGAAAGAAGCAAAAAAATTATCAAAATAAACTATCTCACCTTATTTCCCTCTTCTTTGACTTGAGGATTTATGAGTTTTATAAATGAATAGAACAGCTGTCGAATTCTAGAATCTCCTATGAACACAATATGTTTGTCTATGAGGCAATTCTTTGCTTCACTGTAAAACAAAACAGGAATATTCATGTTCCAGTAAATTTGTATTTTAGAAAAAAAGTATTTTTAAAATCTACAGAGCAATACAAGTAATCCTAAACATTACATCCAACTCTAAGGTATGGTAAATCTTTTCTTAAATATGCTGAATTAATAAAAGGTTTAGTGCAATTTGCATACAAATGAAAAAGAATTCTGCTAATGTGATCAGGCAAACAGCCAAGCAGACCTTCCCATTCCATGGTGCTACAAACACAGTGGTTTCAAAATGGCAATATACAGCATAACTCTGACAGAAAACCCCAAACAGTTCTTTACTAGCAGGTGAAAAAAAAAGTGACTGGTAATTTTATTTGGGACTTCTTTACTTGCAATTCTACACATCATGTCAGCATTTTCCCTTTCAGCAATCTGAGAGTGACATATGAAGCCTCTTGTGGCTCTCCATAACTTGTGCCAGTACTACTACCATCAACAGCTATTTGTATTTTTATATAGAAATAAAACTATGGTAAACACTGTAGACACAGACAATGAAAAGGAAAGACACAGGAAAAGATTTTTTTCAAAATATAAATGCTGTATATTTTTCAAATCCTAGAGAATCAGCTATAAAGTGAAAAATAGATGACAATGCGATTGCTACAGCTGCAGTCAAACAACAACTCTTCTTTGCAAGCAGACAAACAGAAGACATAAGTTTCCTTACCTATTTTTATATTTGTGCATCATACAACTGTGAGGTTGCCATACTTTTTCTCCAAGGAATCTCCCACTGGACAGAAGATACTCACATGTATCGCCACCTTTAAAATGTTAAGATTAGAATTCAGATGTGTGAAAGGCAAAACAGAGCCCCAATGCTATTGAAAATAATAATATAACAATACTTGAAACACAGGCATTGAAACAACCTAGAGCAGTAAACAACTTTAACTTACTGCAAAAACATCTTGCACAAGTTTCTGCAAGTTGCCTTCTTACCTATTAAACCACACTGCTCTGTAAATCACACCTGTTAGTGCTCCCACTTCTACTGCCAGAAATGTGACCTAGGATGGCACTTCCATCAAAAGATGCCAAGGCACTGTGCTAGCTACTATCCAGAATACACTAAAAAGAAATTAAAGAGTACAACTGTTCAATATAAATCTTCTACACAGAATCATCATGGACAGGATCTTGTATAGAACATGAATCTCACCATGAGATTTGCAAGAAAGTAGTTACGTCTCCTTGCTGACGACAGAGTGGTCACCTTAGAACAGGTGAAGTTACCTGCTGGGCTAATACACAAACACCCCAAAACATTGACATGAGAATTTGCTGATGGTACCTGCAGCTCAGAACATTTTCCAGTCAAGATGCTTTACTCTCATTAACAGCTTTACAGGTAGTGAAGTTTCAGGTCATTTTAAGTTCATATAAATAAAATACCTCAGATATGAAATCAGTGACTTCCCAACTCCAAGTCAGATTCTGCTGCTTTATAACTGAACACAACCAAAACACCATTCACTGCCAGAGAAGCTGCCCTCCAACATTTTTGTCATACTTGGCATTTCAGAGCATTGACAAACAGGGAAATGGTGGTGAATGAAATGGCAGTTGCTTGTGCAGAAACACTGTGCCACAGCCTGTACTCAATGCTTTCTGTGAAACTTTGTGGTGCTTGAAAGCCAAAGTGTAAGTTGAATTTAATGAGGCCAATTTCCTTGATTCTCAAACTTGCACACTTGTGTAAAGTATCGTTTTGAGAAACTTGCATAAAAATGAAACTGCCAGGGTTAATAAAAGCCATAATCTAACCAAAAGCAACATGAGTTTGATAATGAGAATAGGTGACTTAAGAGTTATTACCGCTACAAAGTCCTTCACTTTGCAGATGATGAAAATTACGACATGTATCAAAGTGATATCAGAGTGAATCATATAAGAGAATATTCACCACTAATTAGACTCCCCCTGAAATCCTTGAACTTGCTGAGAAAGATACATAAGTAAATAAGGACAGTTATTCATGGTCAGACCAATGGTCAGCCTAGCCTGGTATTCTGCCTTCAACAGGGGCCACCAAGAGATGAGTAACAAGAGGGCAAGTAAACACTATGTTGTTGTCCAATATTCTTCCAAGTATGTTCAGTCCAGGGACTTCTGAACTGGACATGCACTCTTCAATTTTTTAGCATCCACAGCATCCTTCTACAAGAGTTTTCCATAACCACAGCTGCTGTTTGAAGAACCACCTGCCTTCATCTGAAATATGATTTCTAATAGCTTTACTTGGCACTTCCTGGTTCTTCCATAGGAAAAGGCAATTTGGACTCACGTCTACTCTGATTTGTAGATCACTATCAATCCTTCCCCAATCAAGCTTTCAGGACTGGAGATTCTTAGTTTACTAATTCTTCATAGAATAGATCCATATCTTGAGCTCATGACCTAAGCTTGGTACCTCTGCACTCCATGGCACTCACATCATAATTATCCACACATAAACCAATCCTCCATGCTGCAGTATGCTCACTGAAGCAACATTCCACACATCAGGCATTGTATACATATAGACATAACATTTTACATCAAGGAGTTATGCCTTTCCCAAGTCCCGGTGCTGAGTAGGTTGCTATTGTCCCAAGCAATATTATAAAACTACTGAAACTCATTAGGAGCATTACTGATATCTAATATCTTCCTTTAAACATAACAGTAGAAGTCATGGCGAGAAGATGAGGGAGGGGAATAAAACAAGACTGAAACAGCAGACAAGGGAGTGAACTGGAGGTTATAGACCAGACAGTGCCTCCAGAAATACTATAGTCTGGCTTAGGACATAAAATAGCAAAGAACCACACTTGTTTTAACATACCACACCTTCATCTTAACTATGACTAAGACCTTAAAAGGGAAAAAAACCAAACCAACAAACAAAAAAACCCCACCCTCACCAAAAACCTGAGAAAAAAACTCTAAGTGCCATTCTATACACAAACCACAGACCATTCTTTCTAAACTCTTCCCCTGTGCTTTGTGCATTATCATTTCCATGTATTACCTTTTATTTTCATCAAATGTAGCACTTAGATACACTATGGTATAGTTTGATACAAAGTGTGTAATTTCTCTGAACTTTATTATGCTCATTATTCTAACTGATCATTCCTCAAAATGGTGGTTATTCCATTGAAACTGTGAAATCTCAAAGTCTTCATTCAGAACCACAGCAGACCAAGTTTCACAATTCTTTCTCTAAAAGGCAAACTCCTTGTTTCAAAGAACTGGAAATTCAATTATTCAAAATTAAAATACAGTTTTAAACAGAATCTATTAGTGCTGATTTTAAGAATGAAAAATTTTAACTAAAAGCTTATTTCCAACAGAGTTTAAGACTGTACCTTTACAATACAACAAACAAGTGAAAAACACACAGCACGAACTAGTATGTGAACATTTAGTCCACTTGAGTCCACTTCACAGAAGCTATATGCAACTTAACGACAGTCCCTAATCCCTCTTAGTTCACTTTGTTTTGCAAAAAATGTAGGTGACCCCTAAAGAGCACAGTCTCCCTGAACATGAATTTGACCCTCCACAACCCCAGTCCAGCACTGTTTCATACAAGTAACTTTTATACAAGCAAGTTTGACTGGGAAGTGCACTGGGCTGTTCCTATCTATAATATGTACTTGCATGACTGAGACCAAAACTAGCTGAAACCTCTGCAAGTAATGACAATCACACAAAAGAGGTATAAAAGCACGACAAACACAGCAATCCTTCCCTGGCATGGCCTGGCTTTTGCAGCCTGGCAGCTCTGAGCCTGTTAGCAGCCCCTACCTCATCCACCCTCTGCAAATCAGGATAACCCTTTTGGGGATATTTTTGGTATACAATCTTGGTATAAAATGCCTTGTGTGAAAAAAATGAAAGGCTTTCTTCTGACAATTTTAAATGCATTGCCAGCTAATTCAATTTTTCAGTTGATCTTTTTTGTGTTATTACACAATCACAATGAATTTACCTTCCCCCAATACGTCACAATATTTGAGACCATTAATAAGTTACTAAGTTTCTGTTCAGGCTACAGACTTTTATTCCGTTTCATTATTTCTTTTAGAGAAGCTGTTTATTCTTCTGCTGTTTTTGTTGCTCTTTCGTGCAAGTCTTCCAAGTCCTATTATGCCACTCCCGAGAGGGGGTGACCAACACACCTGCAAAGAGTGAGGTGCCAGTTAGCTTCAGTTGTGCAATATCACAGTGAAATCTTCTGTTTTTTCACTAATGCCAAAAGTAGTGTGACATTTGCTGAACTTCAGATGTTTGAGATCACTGCAGGGTTGCGGAATGATCTCTCAGGCACTTCTGCTTTCATCTATCCTAAAAAGGTTTGTCTGCTATTAAATCACCCCCCTCCTTTTCTAACTGTTTAATGTCTTTTGAACGTTACTTGTTCAAAGAAGCACAAACTAGCAACTCTGTATTCACTCAGATTCGATGTCCTTCTGCCTTTTACATAGTTAAGGGAAAGCCTCTCTCTTATCCTCTAATTGCTTCCAGAAAATAAAAGCCTTAGGTGAAGAAACTTGTTGAAAGCTCTGTGAAAAATCCATACAGACCGTATCAACTTACGTACAGACTGGCAGATTCCCACTAGTGTGCGATCTGTGACTCAACCCCATCATCAACTCTACCAAAATATACTGAAATTGTATGTTAGTTTCCTTGTAACTTGCTTGATAGGCCAGTGCCTATTTCCTTTGGACAGCCTTGCAAACCCTGTTTAAAACTGTATCACGCTTGCCACCCTCCTCCTGTCCAGTTTTGTGACTCTTTTGTGCCTTAAGGAACACTGCCCAAGAGGCAAGTTCAATTACCTCATGCTTGAGCTCCCCAAGAATTCAGTAAGTGCTTCCAGGTCTTCCAATTTACGACCAGACAGTTTATCAGACTCGCTGGCATGCCAGCCAGAGGGTGAATCTAGGGAATCGCATGTATAAAGATCCATCCCCCGTGCCCATATCCACAACAAACTGCCTCAGCCTTGCCTTCCCCGGGCACTGGCAGCAAGCGCTAGAACATGACACCAGCCGTACCAAAGACACAGCCGCCGTGATCTCTCCACGGATCAGCTTCTTTATTTACCCACAGAAACAAACCACGTTTCCTAGCGTGACGCGGAAACAAGAAAACATTTCCTTCAGCAGTGCCATTTGCATTCACGGATCACGCCAAGACTCGCTGCTCCGGGGCCAAAACAGCCCTGGGGAGAGCAGAGGAAGCTCCGAGCGCCCTGTGCCCGCGGT